TATTTATGGAGAATTTCCTGTGTTTTGAGCCTTGGGCGAGGCTTGGGGACAGAGGTAAGGGCGGTCCTATTCAGACAGGCCCTAATGTGCTCCCAGGCTCTTCAGTGACAAATAACAACAGAGAGTTGCTGTATGGCACTAGGTGTGGAAGAAGGAGACAATGGGAACTGGAATAATCAGGGCAGGCTTCCTGGAGGTGGAAGGATCTCTTCAAGGGGCTGAGTGTCACAGGGAGGAAGCTGGAGGGAACCAGGGTGGGGGAAGCACAGGCAGTTAACTTAGAGTTTTCCCTCGTGTCCATTGGCATTAAGCTAAAGAATTGCTTTCTCCCTCCCTCCCTTCCCCTCTTTCCTTCTTTCCTTTCACACATATTTCTCAGTGCCCAGCACATGCCCAGCACAGAACCAGTCGCTTCTGCATCAGGCCCTCTTGTTCTGGTGGAACGGGGAGGCGTGGTGTTTCTGAACTTGGAGGGTTCAGGACCCAGGGTGGTGAGCTGGAGCAGCTCCAGGAAGTGCAGGGAAGGGGGCCTGTGGCCCGGACCCAACCCCAGGGTGCACTCCTCCTTGCCCTTAGAACAGGGCTCAGGCTGGGTGAGGGACTGGGAGCAGGGATGCTCTTTCTATTAATAGAGAAATAGATTCCCTGGGAGAGAAGGGTGGGCAGCGCCCAGGAACCGTTCACTCACATTACATCATTCACTTATTTCCGTGAACCGGGCAGGGGTTGCAGGCACTGCAGGCGGGGATGTAGCAATATCAAGAGGAGTAGGACAGGATTCCCCTCAAGTTGAGTCCGAGTGGGGAGAGGGTTTGCTAGGGTTTGTGGGAACTAATTGGTCAACCCCTTTCCCCGAGGACGGGAGGCATGCAGGTGGAAACCAGACAGTCACTGGCAGCTGGGGCGGAGCATGGCTCCTGTGACTGCTCCCTGAGTTCACACTGTGCACCAGCGCGGGGCCCCAGGGGTGGCTGCCGTGAGTGGGGGGCATATAGGAAGGAGGGAGAGAACTCAGGTTCTCCCTCACCTTCCCCTTGGGAGGTGGAGGCATCCAGACAGACCCAAAGAGACTCACATTCCCCAGCTTTGCCGAGCACCTGGGCTGGGCTGGGACCCCCAGAAGCAGAGGTGACAGGACGGAGACACCGGGACCATGAGGTCCCAGCGGGTCAGGAGGCTTGGCCCAGGGAAGGCAGCGGACGGGCCTGGGGCGGCCCTGGAGCCCTCCCTGGGCCTGGCTGGCCTCACTGAGCCCTGAGGGGCTGGCCTGCTGGGGAGCCAGGGGCCTGAGAGCCCCTCAGAGGCTGCAAGCAGGA